AGAGTACAGATGTAAGGTCTAAGGTTCTTAAACACCTAAACTGTGAAAAACAATATCCATAGAGATATGATGAGGGACAATCAGATGTCGACAATAACTTTTACAGGTTGGCACAGTGGATGCTCATAGCATATATGATGATTCCGGATCTACCCTTACTTTGTACAAAAAGATCTTCCATGCAGTCGACATACTGAATCGCATTCAACTGGTGCTTCTGAAATGTGTGAGGTGACTAGTATTAGCATCAAGATACACTCTACGAATAGAAGCAAACGTTTTTTTCACATTTCTTTGTTTTTAAGGGTAAAACTCAAACGGAGAGACAAAAGACTCTATCTCTGGCCAATTTTAACATCACTTTACTATTCCAAAGAGCGGAAAACCATCTTCCAATGCGCAAAAAGTAAGTGGCAACACTGACAATGGCTATACATAGTCAGTGCTGATTCATAAATATAAAGCTTCCTTTCTTAACTCTAAGCCTTATCTGAAAGGATGTGAAGCTTTTTGTGAGCCGAAGTAGCTTGTATCTCTTATCAATAAGTGCTCCAAAGCGTCATCTTGATCTCAAAGCAACATGCCAAGATGCAAATTAATTTAGACAAAGACGTTGTCACATCAATGCTCAGCTTTTGCGATGCTATTTCAAGTCAAAATTGAGCTCAGCATTTTTGCAGGTCCTGCAAGTCATTCTTAGATTAAAGAGAATTTGTAACTTCTTCCAAAAAATCGTTTCGCAGTATAAAAAAATGTGATAGCAGCTCTTCAATTTGCATATTTCAATAAGTATCAATTTCTAAATCACCACTCAATCGAGTATCCCTCTCTTTCAGTGAGAAGATCAAATATCCAGGAGGGAGTCTTACTTTGAAAGTGTGGCGCACAAGGCAAGACCGGCAATTGTTTCAATGATCACCAATACTCCACTTATTCCAACGATGACAGCTTCAATGAGCAGAACTGAAAACAAAACTCTACGATCAGAAGACAAGTGCAAAATCATACATTCTGATTTTAGGGCATATTACTTCACGTAAGCACATACATGCCATAAGTAATCAATATTAACTGAGATACCATTTTGATTTTGAATGGTTGTCAAAAGGATAATTGTAAAAGTGGAATACAAATAATAGAATTTTACAAATATGCACTTTTCCGAAAAAGACTAGATCATAACTATAATTAAGCAATTTTAAGTCGTTTTATGATCCACAGGCTGGTAAGTTCGTACCGCTTTCAAACTCAACAAATTTTGTAACAAACCGAAAGTTTTGGCAAGATATCATATGTTTAAAAGAAGAATCCCTTTCAAGAAGGTATGTTTGGCTTATCCAGTGGTCTCGGATGTGGTATTTAGAAGAGTTCAAAGTCAAAAATTTAGAGGGGTGAATAAAGCTCAACCAACAGTTTTAGATTGAAATCAGTTTAAGAACTGTTATAATGCTTCCTTCTGATCGGATATGCTGATTCCAAAAAATTCTCCATTTCTTATGATAGCGCCC